GGGAAGGGGGCATGAAAGAGGAGACTTTCAAGGGGCTGAAGCTGCAGGGAGATCAGGCCCACTGAGACCACCCAGCTTGATCCACCTACCTGGTCACTAGAGCCTCATGGACAAAATGGTGTCCTCAAGTATATGGGGTTAGGTATTTGGAGCAAGAATGGGCTCCCAGCCTCTAGCCTCGATTTTCTGCTCTCCTCCCTACTCCCCTCCTCCTACCTCTGATGGCTCTTCATAGGCCAAGTTACTGGCACGCAGGATACACTCTGCACAGCCCCCATTCTCTGTCCAGGAGAGCCAAGAAGCCCCTCACCTTGCAGGGAGGGACACTGAAAGCTCGTGTCCTCAGATCCACCCTCTGAAAGGAGTCAATGAAGGCAGGAGGAAAACCATGCCAGGCTCTTGAGGGGTACGGATCCAGCCCAATAGAAACACGATCACCTGATCATAAGTGGGCACAATCTGCTCATAATGGCAAAGGAAGGGTTGAGTGTGGTAAGCCCAGATTGGCATTGATGTCTGCCCAGGGCCCTCCCTCATCTCTCTCCCCCTTGCCCTGGGCAATGTCAGGTATCCTTAAACTGTGTTTACATGAGAAAACCAAGGCTCTGAGGGGTTAAGTGACTTGCTCAAAAATCACAGTCCCCAACTGAAATAGGCAAGATCTGAATGCAGCTCTGAATGACTCCAGAAGCCATGCTCTCCACTACTACACTGTATTAACTTGATCCTCAGAGAAACTTTTCTTTTCTGTGGCCTGAAGCTAGATGTGACTCAAACCAGAAAACTGTCTGTCCTTGAATTAGTTAGGATCAAATTCTGGGCTGCTCCACCAGCAACCCTAAGCAAAGGGCTTTGCCAACTTCAGGTGCTAGAGTCCTCAAAGAAGTAAATATATCCATATTGAGAAATGAAGGCCCAGAGAGGCAAAGTGACTTGCCCAAGGTCACAGTATTTGTTTCAATGGCAGTTTTAGGACTAGGATTTAGGACTTTCTAAGAACTTCCTTCCAGACTACACCAAACCCAAAGTCTTTCTAGAAAAGTTGACCATGGCCTACGGCTGCACAAAGAGCCAGGCCTGCTTGACTTCCACTTCACTGTGGCTTTCAGGTGTGATCCTCAACTATAGTTCATCCCTTTCCCATCTGCAGATACCCCCTGTGGAAACAAGGCCTAAATTCCTTTCACTCATTATCTCTGGGGCCAATTTTATTGTTTTCCAGTTCCAATTTAGCCTAATCCAAAGGCAGGAAGGTTCGGCAAAGATATCAGTATGCACCTTAACACTATTGTCCAGAACCCAGGACTTGGGAGTTTGGTTCCTGTATGACTTTGGACAAATATGAGCCTCAGTTTCCTCAACTGAAAGATGTGTCCTGGCCCAGCCCATTTCACAGAAGTGATAATATACTTAAGGGAAGGAGACAGAGGACAAAAAGTTCATCTATCAATGCTCAGTATGACCCAACCACCCTGGGGCTCTCCAGGGCAAACCAGCCAGAAATGGTGAAGGTGATGAGCAGCAGCAAGAACCCTAAGAAACTGATGAGACTGTGGCAGAGGCAGGAAGACCAGGTGTGGGATACATCTGAGGCAAGAGCACAAAGGCAGTCAATGAACACCAATTGGCTGGCCGGACAGCTGCAGGCACAGTGAACATGGTCAAGTGTATGTACCTTTTGCCCACCTCCCTTCCTTCTCAGAGCTCTGTCTGCCTCCTTGCCTAATACTCCCATATATTTGGGTAGGTCCTAATTAAGGATTGTTCCTTCTTCCCACACATCAAAACTAATCTCTCCCAAGTCCGACCTTCACAAGGCTTTCTCTGCTGGACAGTGGTCAGTGGATCGGAGAAGCAAAACCATGTGATGCCCTCCTTATTGGGCTGGGCAGGAATCAATCTTCTTGTCTAATTTATATTAACTTGGTACAGAGCCAGGAGTGGATGGGAATCTGAAAACACAGGTTGGGTTGAACTGAATGCTGCTGGCATAACCCATCCCTCTTCTAGCACAAGCACCACAGGTGTGCTTTCAAGGAGTCCTTTTGCCTAACGGGATAAGGCATTAACGGCTCACCAATCAATAAGAGCCATAGGTGAGGACTAAGATGTTCTTTCCTAGCTCACAACTCTTTACCCCCTAAGGGCCGTCAAATACATGCTTTAGTTGAAGAGCTTCAGGTGGGAGGTGGGGAGAGAGGAACTAGGAAATGAGGCTCACCTCATGGCCCCTGCAGAAAAGGAACCCTTGGATGGGGCAGCTGTCATTACAGGAAGGTTAGGGAGGGACCAAATCCTTCAGTGTTTGGTTGTCAGGCTGAGGAATGTGAGATCTGAAATGTGCGGTTCAAGGCTTTGGAGCAAGACAGGGTCAGAGTTGACACACAGGCAGCTGAGGGCCTTTTTTGGAATGTGTCCCTCCACCAGGAAACAGAGAGGTGCTCAAGCTCAGGGAACCTAGAGGTGCGAGGGGGCAGAGGGGATGCTGCCACTTCTTGGCAGCCAAGTGCCCTTGGCGAGCAGAGGATCTTCTATTCCTAGACCTTGGTTTCTTTCTCGTCAAAATGGGAACTTGAAACCTCAGCCGGGGCCTAACAGGCTGAGCCAAGGAGGAGTGAGGTGTATGGGGCGGACGGAGGGAGGCTCCTTGGAAGATGAGAACTGAAGGCTGCAGCCCCGAAGCCCCAGAAGGGTGGATCGGCGCCAGCATCCCAGCGTCCGGTACAGGCCCCTCTCCACGTAGGGTTTCCCCTCGCTCCCTCCTCTTTGGGAGCGACTACGCCAGACCAGCCGACTTCTGACAGGCACAGAGCTCGGGCCTGGGGATGCCGGCTGGGTCCCCCGGGTCCCTCTGCGCAGGACGGCCACTCACCAGCCCCGGCCCCACGCCGCCCCGCTCCCGGAACAAGCGGCCCTTCTGGGAGCGCAGGA